GCATGCACGATCACGCTGTGGCAAAAACAAACACTTAACCGACCACCAAACAACTTGGCGATCATGCGGACTAATGATGCGGACAGCCGACCGACAAGCAGCGGGGCGGAGAAGGATCGCCTACTGCGAGCTTCAGTAGAAGACCAAAGCGCTCCGCCGAAACGCTCACAATAGATGCTGAGCTGCTGCATGCGCCATCCTGCATGTCCAAACACGCGGGCGCCTCTAGTGGATCTTGAAGTGCCGATTCCTCGCGACCACACTTTCATATGGTAATACAGCTCAAAATAGAATTGCCCTGCTGGGAGATTGACTTTACTGAAATGGAAGGTAACGACGAAAGAAGCGCCCCGCAATAAGACCCTCCTTTATTTTCAACTGATAATGAGCACCGGACCGAGCGGAAAGGTGGTCAAGATCGATCATGTGGATTGCCAAAAGGCGGTGCAGACACCGATAAGAGACGAGAGAGGACTGCCAGAAAATATGACGGGAAGAGGGAAGCGCAATTGGCAATTGGTTCAAAACGACACGGTCACTGGGGAGCGCCGGCATGCGGCCTATCGGCGCCGCCAATGGGCTATTAAACCATGAGCATGCGTTCTGCTTGCTGTTTTTCAACTTTTAAAAGCTATCCTCTTACTGCTGCCTGCTTGCATCGCTCATGCAGCGCTTCATGGACGCTTCTAGCCTAGTTTTATCGCCGGAAACTTGTCTTTAAGCCAGCAGCAGCGAGGTTCTGTCCAAATAGCAGAGTGGATTTCACCGAGCTAATAACCTACATGAAAGGTATAGTTCCCGCTTCGCGCGCTCACTCCAACAGCTCCCATCACAAACGCGTCGAACTGGGTCATGAACTCCCTCTCATCGCGATGAGTTGAATTCGTTCTTACGATCTTTAAATGGCCTGGTACAACCGAACTGGGTACAGTCCATACAAAGAACCCATCGCTAGACGTGCCACGCAAGACAACTCTAACAATGCACTACTTACCGTTCCCCAAACTCGACGCTACGTGCTACCTGAGAGTGTCCAGCAAAATTTTGCAGAAAACTCTTCGTGACAGTTAACCCTATAAGGGCCATTCAGCCGTACACTCAGTGGCCGATTTCAACGACGTCAGCTCCTGACCAGATGTACTTGCCTCTCATGGCTATGCGAAATTGGTTACCTCTAAGTCATCGCCGACATTCCGCCACACCGTGCTCGCCGCAATTGTAAGACCGGCAACAACGCTAAAGGAGCCTCGCCCACTTGAAATCAGCAATTCACCCTACCTTCGCCAACGTCACCCTGCGCGCACTACTCAGTAGGATGCACTCCACAATACCGACTCTCATGAACCGTTGAATCTCACAGCTAGAAATGGCGTTCCAGGTGTAGCCAAAAGCCGAACTTTGAGCGCGCCGTTAAATACGAGCGCCATTTTGCTTTGCTATGGCAGCCAATTCACCGGTCGGAAAATTGCCGTCATTTCGAACAACAAGTGTACGACTGGGAGTCGTCGAGTAGGTTTTGGGCCACCAAGCCGAAGATTCTCGCCAAGGGCATTTCACGAGAATCGCGAAGAAGACGCGATGGCGGAAGCGATCTCCGTAGCAGACAGTGCCATCGCCTTCAATCCCTATCCGAACGTCGGGCCTCCGTATCAGGCTCATCCACCCTAAGTGCAAATGAAGAAAAGACGATACGGCAGGTGTCGTGACACTGGTACGCGAACGTAAGCTTTGCTGAAGCATAGCACTTTGACTGGCTGCTTGGCCCGTTCGAATCTTCCGGATTTTCTTAGAGTGACGCTTGAAGTCTTGCCAACGAGGACACCTTCTGATGTCACTGATAGTCAACGAAGACGACGGCGCCTGTCTATATAGCGACACCGCCATTTGCGGGGATATTGGGGTCGATAGACTACATCTAAAGGCAAGAATCGATCTGCCCAACTCTTATCTTCAAGAAGCCGTTCATACTTTGCCCACTTTTCTTACCACAAAAAAGGAGGACAGACCGCAGCAGTCCTCACATCTGGACGACGCCGTTTCACTGACAAGTCACACCGAGCGACCGAAGCTAATCCTGGCATAACTGTACGTTCGCCCCTGCTCTGAACACTACCTACGTAGTACCCAGAAAGAACCACCATGACACTCGACCGCGCACGTGCAACCAGATGCCGTAGACGGAACATTCGACACAACAACGACGAAACCACCCTCATGAAAGTGTTCGATCCTACCGCTGTTTTGCCTCCACGAGCAAGGACAATTTTGCCCCCGCACCGATGATAGCCCTGCCGAGCAGCTCTACGATTACGACATGCGTCGCAGTGCATCACCGAGCGCGTCAGAACAGCATGGCGCTTAAAGGGCAAAATAATGCGCAAGATAGACGATCCATGTTGCTTGGGAGGGGATTTGTGCACATTTCCTGTTTTGATTCTTAGGCAACATTCAAGTATTTCAGCTAACAATGGGAGGTCGTTCAGGCGTGGTGCGCTTTTCGGGGGGGAAAAAAACCCCGTGGGGTTTTTGCCATAACGTAAGGGCTCATGCCAATTACTCTGAAAAGTGTGCTTCTATTTTCGCGGTGCCGCGCTTTCCAGAAAAGGCTAAAAAACGAATGAAAAGAACAGTTTTTTGGAAGTCTGCCTCCGGTCTGCCTTACAATAGCGTTAGGTTCCAACTGCCAAGCTGACAGTTGTGCTCTGCAGGGGCGGTGGTCCGTACGAAGGGACGTTAAATCGAAAGCGGAAAAATCGCCGCAAGTCAGCTTTCGGCTTTGGGTCATGTTGATTATAAGCATGCGACCGGCGCCTCTTGCCTATCGGTTCATCAAGATTATGAGCGGCGGTTTCGCCAATAGGCCCAGGCAGTCGCGATGGAGCCATAGCGCGATAGAGTGGGAGTGTCGGCAATCGGACACGTTGAGGCGGGGTTGATGGCTCCCCTTGCGTCGGGCCTTTTTTTGCATTTTTTGGATTTCGCTGTTCTGGTCCATTTGTGTCTTGCGCATGAATATAACTCGGATACTTTGCGGGTCATTTATCGGCACCATTCTGATGTACCTCACGAATTTTATTTCTATTCAACTATTTCGATTTTTCGCCCACTATGAACAAGATTGTTGCGTGCGACGTTGATCCTCATAGGCTATACAGTGGATCTGATAGTAAATTTAGGAAGCTGCGTGTATACTTGCGCGGCAGCGCTAAGCGCGGGCGTTAGCGTAGGCGCTTCCAGCGTAACGCCAGCGGCTCGAGTGCCGAAGAGCAGATGCATATCGACTCTAGCGTCACCAGCGTCACCAGCGGCACGCTGGCGTACGCTAGGCCGCCCACCGCTATGCGTACGCCAAGCGTTCTCCACGCGTTTCACCAAGCGTTTTTGCTAGGCGTTTTGCACTGCAGGGGAAGTAGAGACTAATGGAGGAGCTGGAGGGTATCAAAAACACACCGAGTTGCGCGTTTCTCTCACTCGCCCTTAGACTCTACAATGCACATCGCTTCTGCGTCTCAGACGGCCACATGGTCTCTCAATACCACGTCGATTCGCGTCTCTCACCGGCCACCATCAGTTCCCTCTACTCCCTGCCGCTGCAAGCGCTAGCAAAACGCTGGTGCCGCTTGGATAAACGCTCGGAAACCGCTGGTGAAGCTACGATCGATAGCTATGCTCCCGTGACCCCGTCCGCTCACGCCGGCCCGTGTGCCGCTGGTGACCTGGCTGAAGCTAGATCGATATGCATCCCTCTCTCGGCGCACTGCCGCTGCGCGTACGCTGGAAGCGCAGATAGCGCTACGCTGTCCCGCAAAGCTATAAACGCAGCCTACAGCTTTCTGGTTTGGGTCAAATCATAGACCAACTTTGGGTGTCACATAAATCTTAAACTGAATTCGTTATGTGCACCAAATAATAGGAACGCTTCAGCGCTATAGTCTGCCCAATATTGCGTGGACGTGCGCAAGAATAGGTGTTTATATTTGTGATCAGGACCACTGATTACCACTAAAAAACGAATTGTTACGGTCAGAACAAGTTGTTTTACCATTTGCGGTTGCCTATATGGGTCTCCGGGTCCGTGAGCGTCAAGATACCGTCATCGGATGTTTACGAAGATGTGAGACGGCGCTCACACTGCGAGTCAACATGGTCGCGTTCATCAGAACCCTGAAAAGTCAAAAAGAAATTTCCGCTCAAAACTCTGCTTCCTAGTTAATCGGGGAAAGACCAGTCCCTGATCACGGAAGGGCGGGGGGGAGGAAGCTCCGGGGTGGACGGCGGCCACCCGGGCAGCCGAGACGCCCGTCCCCAGACAGGCACCTGTCCCGTGGCCGGACTACAGTACTCCACGCCTTAAATAAATGGTCATCTCAGAGCCAGGCCCCGGTGGTGCACCCACGGACAACACAATTAAATCCACGCGTCACATTCGGGCCCGGTACTGTACACCGCCTGACGACTTGAACTTATAATAAATTCTGACACCGGCATAGCGCCGGGAAGAGCTTGAGTCTGTGCATACTAACCAATTCGAACCGAAGAAGCCAGTTTGTTCCACAAAAGTAGGATTGTTCGAATTTATCGTGAATGTTTGTTAGGACCAATGATTTCTAGACAAACATTGGATCCAAAAAATGAAAAATTGTAGAAAAGCAAAATTTTTCCGTCGGTGGGATTCGAGCCATCGACCTATTTACGTTTTTTTTGTATTCGTAGAGCCGCGCAGCGAAAATGGAATCTCAGTTTTCTGGTCCTCATATGTGCGCCCCTCCAATATGCCACAAGAACCATCTTTGAAAGCTCACCACGCCCTGAACGACCTCCCTTTGTAAGATGAATGCTGGCGAGTGAATACTCTTGAGTTTCATCTCCAGGCGTCACACTTCACTTATCAAATGTTGAAGGGAGCCAAACTGCTCAAGCCCTGAATGAATTGCTTTTGCGGGAAATGAAGCGGCAACGTACCGCCTTGCGCTTTAGAAGGCGCTCTTTTTTCAGCTTCGCTATATGCATCCACAGCACACTGGAATGGTGTTGTTGCGTAAAATGAATAATTTGAGTTTCATCTCCCGCGTCAGTGGGCTCACGATTCGTGTTGTCGCAAACGGAGCTTCCAGTTCTGCGTTTTCGACTGAGCCTAAAAATAAGAAGTGACTATGAAAACTGGCCCGGTCAGATTTTACTTTTTTTGCTTCACTCAGAGCTCCCAGTTTTCATAGTCACTTCTTATTTTTAGGCTCAGTCGAAAACGGCAGAACTGGAAGCTCGTTTGCGAAACACGAATCGTGAGCCCACTGACGCGGGAGATGAAACTCAAATTATTCATTTACGCAACAACCCATTCCAGTGTGCTGTGGATGCATATAGCGAAGCTGAAAAAGAGCGCCTTCTAAAGCGCAAGGCGGTACGTTGCCGCTCTCATTTCCGCAAAAGCAATTCATTCAGGGCTTGAGCAGTTTGGCTCCCTTCAACATTTGATAAGTGAAGTGTGACCCTGGAGATGAAACTCAAAGTATTCACCTCCCACATTCATCTTACAAGGGAGGTCGTTCAGGGCGTGGTGAGCTTTTTCAAAATGGTCTTGTGCATATTGGAGGGGCACATATGAGGACCAGAAAACTGAGATTCATTTTCGCTGCGCGCTTCTACGAATACAAAAAAAAACGTAAAAAATAGGTCGATGGCTCGGATCCCACCGAGGACAAAATTTTGCTTTTCTACAATTTTTCATTTTTTGGATCCATGTTTGTCTAAATCATTGGTCCTAACAAAAACATTCACGATAAATCGAACAATCCTACTTTTGTGGAACAAAACTGCTTCTTCGTTCGAATTGGTTAGTATGCACAGACTCAGCTCTTCGGCGCTATGCCGGTGTCAGAATTTAATTATAAGTTCAAGTCGTCAGGCGGTGTACAGTACCCCCGAAAATTGCGCGTGGGATTAATTGTGTTGTCCGTGGGTGCACACAACGGGGCCTGGCTCTGAGATGACCATTTATTTTAGGCGTGGAGTACTGTAGTCCGGCCACGGGACAGGTGCCTGTCGGGGACGGGCGTTTCGCTGCCCGGGTGGCCGCCGCACCCCGGAGCTTCCTCCCCCCCGCCCTTCCCGTGATCAGGACTGTCGATTAACCCTAGGAGCAAGTTTTGAGCGGAAAATTTCTTTTTGACTTTTTCGGGTTCTAGATGACCGACCATTTGCTCGGCAGTGTGAGCGCAGTCTCACATCTTCGTAACACCGATGACGTATCGTTGACGCTACGGACCCCGGAGAACCCAATAAGCAAACCCAAATGGTCAAAACAATTGTTCTGACCGAAAATTCGTTTTTAGTGGTAATCAGTGGTCCTGATCACAAATATAACACCTATTCTTGGCGTCCACGCAATTTGGCGACAGAATAGCGCTGAACGTTCCCTATATTGGTGCACATAACGAATTCAGTTTAAAGATTATGTGACCCCAAATTGTCTATGATTGACACCAAACCAGAAGTTAGGCTGCGTTTATACTTTGCGGCAGCGTAGCGTAGCGCTTCCAGCGTACGCCAGCGGCAGTGCCGAAGAGAGGATGCATATCGATCTAGCTTCACCAGCGTCACCAGCGGCACACCGGCGTAGCGAGGGCACGGGAAGCATAGCTATCGATCTAGCTTCACCAGCGTTTCTCGAGCGTTTATCCAGCGGCACCGAGCGTTTGCTAGCGCTTGCAGGGGCAGGGGAGTAGAGACTAT